CCGGGGGCTGCTTCTTAGTACCGCACAGTCGTTCAAAGTTCCTTCTCACATCGCACTTCGCTAGTATTCTACTACATGTGGTGTGACATTGGCGCTCTTCACCAGTAAATGGTTGGATTATGTTGCGGAGTCTATTGGTGGCCTCGTTACCAGCCCGACATGCTGGACTTTTTGATGGAGCCACTATTCCTGAGAGGTTTAGCATACTTTCACTATCAAAAGGATTCTTGGCGTCGTTTTGGATCAGTGCACGGCTCTTAAGTATGTCTTGAGCGGACTGGTTTGTTGGGTGTCTAATTTCGAGTCCATATTTCAGGCCGTGAAGTGGCACAGGTCGTCTCTATCAGACCTCAGTAAGAGGGCTGTGACTTTTTACGAAGTGTGAAATTTCATTTTCAGGCTCTTTTGAAAAATGTAGACCTATAATGTTACCTGGTTGGTTTAAATGATGTATTTCACAGTTAACTGCTTCCCCTTTTGTGGATATGGTTTTCCGTGCAGCTGACTTTACAGGGTTTAAGTGAGGCGAAATCCCAAACCTAGATATGTTAGAGGAACTATTCATTAGCTTAGTGTGCTGTACTAAAGGTGAGGCTTTCCAGCCACCAATCTTCTGAGTATGGTTATAAACCTGCCTTTCAACCACTGTTTTTATCAAAAACCATCTTTATTGCTTTAAAATTCATGTTGCATGGAGGGGCGGATTCTGCTTTGATGGATTTTTCTGCTTTTATCTGTTTTGAACTGAAAGCGTGCAGAACGGACCAGCCCTGTTGGATGGTTTTTATTCTGTTCCAAATAATAGTTCCCGTCCTGTATTCAACTCTGTCTAGTCAAGGACATTGTAAACTATTGCTCTGAGCTTTAGTACAAGTCTGTTTGTTGCCTCAGCGGTCGCAAGGTTTGCTCTGTCATCTTGGTCAGTGTTTCGAATTCGATTTCAGTGATGGGTTTGTTGCGCGCCAGGATGTTCAGCGGCGTGACACTCCGGGTGGCCTCATCATATTTTCTTGAAGCATGCTGTTCTCTTTACTGTTATCCTTCGGTTTGCATATTTCTGTCCCAGTTTCCTCCAGAGAGGACTTCAGATTTTCTTTTTCTGGGGGCGATACTGATTTCGGACCCGGTGACTGAAGTTTGATTGGTCGTACACAAGGTACAGCACTTTCATCATGTTTGATATCTGCTACGACATTTAATGTGGTTCCATTAGATGTCGAGGCTAGAGAACTATTTTCAATAATGTGGGTACTGATTGATTCTGCTCGCACTAGCCCAGCGATGTTTCTCATGTGACCAACTGGAATACTAGCTGCTGCATGGTGATTCCACTTCTGGTGTCACCTAAGTTTGGATATTATTTCTGCATTGATTCCCGGATGTCTTCGCTCTTTTTCCTTCACTGCCCACATCTGTTGTGATGCGTGTGGTGTGGTAAGTTGCTATGAAATTAAGCTATTTCAATGGAAACGTTAATTAGCAGTTACAAAAATGGCAGTGAAACCCTGTTGAAAAGTAATACAATTTTGGACGTACTACGAATATTCATCGTATATCGGCCGAAGGGTTACCGAGTCCACAAAATCTGAGTGGAACAGACAGAAACAGAAAATGTTCATGACCTGCAAAAATGATGGACGAGGTGTTTTGGACGCCTGCTTGATGCTTTCGAATAAGTCTATTACTTTTCCAAAATGGAGTTTAAAAATGCAGATATTTAGCTTGCGCTGAAAATGTCTAGCGGCATTATGAATCTTTGGTGTGGACCGATACTAGCATAAATGAAGCGAATCGTTCTTGAATCGCTAGAGTACAATGAATGAGCAACTTACACGCATCCCTTCGTGAACTTACCACCGCTATTCTGAAGCAGAATATGCGAGCAGTAACACTAGAGGTACTAGCTTCAAGCTTTATTTTTCTGTGGAAAACAGATGTGATCTGCGAATGAAAACATCAACTTTTGTTGGCGCCGAGACAACACTTCCACTTGGCTATCACGATAATCCGTACAAAATTATTCTGCCGGAGTGTTTCGCTTCATAAACATGCAGCTTTCACTTCCTCTGGCAACAGAATACGTGGAGACTGACTCATTAACATAGAGAAACATATAATTCACATGGAAATTTATTCACACCTGTAAAAATGGCGTATGCCCGTACACAAAGGAGTAGTTACCGTAATTACTATAATTGCTATAATGTGTGTCGATCAGTGGTTCATCGATAAATTTGGCTGTTTAGACTTCTGCCGGTTGGTTGTATCAAAGTGAGGGTTGGCAGTTGCTCTTCGTTTCCGCCTTCAGCCATCGTTAATCGCCATTTATTGTTATCCTTTTTAGCCACCGTATGCGGTTGTGATGCTTACGGACCGCTCGCAGGTTTGATAGAACCCAACTCAAGTACGTGACCGAATATGGATACTGAAGGTAGCCCTTCGGTTGCGTTGTGATGCGCAACCTTGCTGGTCACCCACAGCAGGATACGTGTCAGTTGTTGCAACTTCGGACGAGTAAGTCAATATTTTATTCTTATATTATGAACTTAACAGCGGATCTTTTTCCAACACTGCCTGGTGGACACGTTGACCGAGTGTGTCGTTCCAACTGAGGCTGGAGCCAAAACCAAATAAGTGGTTCCGCTTTCCTGTCTTTCAGTCGTGGTCGACGGTGGTTTTTTCTCTGCTGTTTTATGCCCCAACCTGTGGGGAAAGTCTTAAGCATAATTTTGATGGAGAGACATCACCTCACTGGAAGCTGTACACTTCATCTTTCTTTAGAAACTGATGAATGCATTGTTCAACTGGCCCACCCTGTTCTCAGATTTTTCCAATTGTCTCGTGACGGCCTCACTTGCTTGCCAATGCCCTCAATACTGCCACACGTGAAATGTAAAATGTATTAACCGGTCTATGATTTCTGGACGGTCATAGTGCCAGCGAAAATCTTGGCAAACAAATGAATCCCAGATATAATTTTAACTAGTGACTCCAATGGCCGCACATTTGCAACTTTCCTAAACGACAGATTTCTCTAGCACTTTATCTCATGTAACTTCCTCCAGCAAGTTAGTTAGCGTCAATTATTCCTCCTTACAAAGACTTCATACTTCAACGTGGATTCTGTGTAGAACTCGTCTCCCCTAGACTAAACTTCCACCAATGTTCGGTTTTCTCATCACAGAAACCATTTCCAAAGGCGTAGATCCATGTTGCCATAAATGGTAACTCTTAGCGAGTGGGGAGTGCTTGAACGCAGATATTTGTCTAGATTACACGAATATGTGGACACTTACTGATTCCCGAAGTCATCAAAGCGAGCCTTTCCTAGCCAGTGAATCTGTAAATATATAGATTAACGTCGAATTATACCTTTATCTGACTAAACACAAAACTTTAAGGGGCACCAGGCATGGTGGCTCTTTGTAACAAGAAATCGAATATTGAGTGACACCGAAGCCACCTGTAGTTGAAAAAATATTTGAAAGCCATTTGAGCTCAAAAATCCGCTTGTGAACTGAAAAGTAGTATTTTCTTGTTTGTTACATTTTTGATGTTATAAAAGTGTCTGATGTCTTCCTCTGTAAACGTAAGGGCTGCCCAAATGTTGTGGATTCCTAGAACGCTATGGATTTGATATTGCTTGTAAGTCAGTTCACTCCGCTTTGAGTCCATAGTGAAATAATAAATTATTTTTATCATTATTATCCACCGGTTGGTGGTAATGGTTGAGAACGTCTACGTCAGTGATGTGCGTAGAAGCATCAGTGGGAAGAAAAATCCACTGGGTAGATTCCCGGAAAAGTGAGTTGAGCTAGTATACCTTCTTCCGAATGTTGAGACCGCTTAGGCGTTAGCTGCCTGTAGATTGACGAACGAGTCATGATGACGTCCATCCGTGGTTGTGGAAAGAACGCCAACTTCTTTGCCAGTGTCCATGACATAATGAACCTTTTTTTCATATTAGCGATGTGCAGTGAAAGGAATTTTTCTGCCGACCACGAAGAGCGCTGATGCTTGCCGCTTAACAGAGTTGCAAAGATCTGGGATTTCCGAGCCCCGACCATCAGGTTCTTCGCTAAAAGAACGCGCGTTTTGGACAGAACTACTAGAGAACTTCGGTGTTACTCAGCCAAGGTCGGTTGGTTATCGATGGCAGCCGACACGGTTTGCACAGATAGCGGTAGTTTCCAAAGAAGGCTTTCCTCGAACGTTCGTTGATCAGTGACTTCTCATATAAATGCGAGCACGTAAGTAGCTCAGTTGTCTTGTAGCTCGGTGTTACAGAGCAATTCATCCAGGCATTGAGGCTGCATCAGATTTCTTGTCCTCAGTAGGGCTTATCTGAACAGTACGCAATAATAACCCACTTTCAAGGCTGAACATACGCATATTAACATTATAATAACCGCATGACACCCAGGAATTGTGAGTGGGGATCCCTGGACCGAAGGCCGTTAATTTTGTGGGGTTATTTTCTGGCATATATATATATATATATATATATATATATATATATATGAGTATTCGTGTCGTTACTATTTTATGATCCCTTCTAACCTCCTTCTTCCAGTAAAGATTCTGGTCTGCTGCCCAGTGGTAGGACGTTTGAATTTTTTAACTTTCTCCTCTTGTGTGTACATACAAATTTCGTTTACATTTTGTGTGAGCGAATACTGGCTGCACGACTGGGTTTACAATGATAAATACTTTTTAAAGAAATATATTCTCCACGTAAAAATAACTATAGTTAGCCCAATTATAATGTGAGGCTAGCAGCATTAAATAACACTTAACTACTTTGTCTTCACGCATTGAACCATATAATATAAGAGGGTGATAAACTATATTTTTGCAAAACAAACATCTCCGAAGATAAAAAATCACCTAGATGAGCTAAGTGTATCACTGATAATGGTTATTCTTCAGAAAACGCGGAGATCAGATATTCGTGATTGATTATGCCGCTGGACAAATAAACCAATCATAGCTGCAGGTTTATTAAACACATGCAACGGCGGGACTTATAAAGTTACTGTCGTTGGTTTGGTTACGTGTAACTTTGTAAGGCTTGGGAGTTAGTTGTCAGGTTAAAATATTCAACGAATTTCTCAAGTAGGTCCAATAAAATTTAAGGCATTCTTTTGCGAAGTCCTGAAAGACATGTGTGGTATTCAGTTGTGCGTCGGTATTCTCTGATATATCCACGCGAAACTTTTTTCAGTTATGCTCGAATTGTTTTAAAACAGTAAGGATTGTTTCGTGCTGTTTGACACTGCACATACAAAGGAATATGTGCTAAGTGATTAAATAATCTAAAGAAGTAGATGCAGATGCAATGCCCACCTTCTGAAAATTCCTGTCGTTTTAAAAGATAACAGTCATTCACCTATAAGCTGTTGGGAAATCCCGACATCACAGCATTCGAGATATTCAGCTGGTTAAATTGCAAGGTATCGGTCTTAATTTGTATGAATCCCTCCGTTTCGTCCTGCTTTTATGGACCTTATGTGTGCAAATGCGTTCGCATTTTGCTTCACCCTTGGATTTTTTCCAATAAATTTCCGTATAGCTCACTGTCCTATGTACGATGTTATACCTAAACTTTTCTTCCCACTGGTGTTGCAGAATCCTAATGTTTCATAATCTTTTGTGAATTACTAACTTACCGAGGATTAAGACCCAAGGTCTATGCCTGGACGTATATCTGTTTTGCGTCAGCAACCAGCCCTTTTGGACCGATGCGAATCTTCAAGTAAGTGAAGTGGTCGATGCATTCCACCAGTTCACTGCGTATCAATAAACTGGGATTACTTGCAGCAGGCCAGTCCTGTAGCATCATATTACATTTGACAGGTACCAGTGAAATGTATGCCAAACATACTCAGTTTTCTGCTCAAGGTGGTCCGAAGAAGCTGGAGTTTATCAGCGTCTTCACCCAGCAGGACAATATCATCTACATAATGTGAGTCAATCAGACGTTCTAGAACCTGTTGGAGAGAAAATATGATCGATGCACCCTCGTCTCATCTGAAACCTGTGTGGTTTTCTCGATTTTGCTTTTCTGGAACACCAGTAGGGTGTCGGATATATATGGGTTCCATGATCTTGGACACAATATTAGTCAAACTAATTTCCCTATGGTTGTCTCAGTCAGACCTCTCCCTCTCTTCTCAGAGACTGGAATGGTAAGAAAGTACACCAGTCTCACGGCACTACTTTTTGATTCCTATATACTAACTAATACCTCCGTCACTTCAACCAATTTATTACCTCCATCTTTGAAACCTTCAGGTGGCAAACTGTCAGGCATTGTTTCAGGCTTCATACAGTTTTTTTAGCTTCATGGAGAGTCGGAGGACCGACATCTATGTCCCTTTCGGGTTCATGCTGGATATTGTGCAACTAAAAGCGTTGCTGAGGGCTAGTTGAACTGTATTTCAGTGTTCTGCCCAACGTTCTAGCCGTTTGTCCTGGGAGGTTATCAGCATCCCTTCCTTTTCGATAATGGTTTCACTAACCATCGTCTTTTTCTCGCAGGTGTCCCTAATAAGCCTAAGTAGTTGCTGAGTTCTACCCAACGTTAATGATTTCTCCATCTCTCTCGCTATCACCGCCCACTACTGCACGCGATCAGTACCACTTCTCTTGTTCAATTTATGTTTGTGGTCCGAGCTAGCTGGAATCTGTCTTTTCGTATCAACCAGTTCGGATGATGTCGCGGTAATCTAGTGACGTTTGTTAACCTTCGGGTGTAGGTTGCCAACTGGCTTTACTTCTGTTTCTACAGCAGACCTAATATCATCCCATATTTCCTTAGGATGGTTACTGTCACGCTCAGATAAATGCTTATCTGTCTCCTCCCTAAATGAGTACTTGACATCCTCATCTTTCAATGGAGCATAGAAAGGCTTTACTATCGCATGTTTTCTGCAACCGGTATTGCGCAGACTTGCAGGATCCTGTACTAGCGCGTGATGGGAGTCCAAACTGGTACTCCTGGAAGAGCGGCAGTCCCCCAACTATGTATCACAGTAATATGGTCTATCTGTGTCCATCGTTGGTTTGATGGTAGATATCATGTGAGAGTCTTTCCCTATGCCTAAAGTCAGTGCTAGTCAGAAGCAAGTGATTGCCAGAACAAAATTACAACAGACGATCACCCTTGCCGGTTCGTTGGTATGGGTTTGTGTAATTACCTCCAGGAACCCTCTCCGATTGGCTGAGCTTCCCTACTTGGGTTCTGTGTATGTCTCAGCGACAGCATAGATCCATGGCTCGAGATTTCAGAGTTCTGGCAAGCGATGTTTGCTGTGCGATTTGATATAGAGTTTGGACGTTGAAAGACCTAATATAAGATCGGTGGAGGGATCTTAGGAGACTTAGGAAGAGATTTCGATGACTTTGGTCGTTGGGAGTGAGAGATTAGGTAAGGTGTAAAAGGCTTAATTTTAGAATCAGAAGATAAAGGTGAAGGAGAAGACGCAGTTGAGGAGGATAGGTTATGTTTGATTTGGTCTTGTATAATACTGGAAATGTGTGGGCGGTTGACACCAGCTGCCCACACTGTGAAAGGCTAGTTATTCTTGAGGTACCTGAAAAAGAAAAGATAGTGCGCGACTGCAGAGTCCAAGGGACATCTGCTTGCGGTCGGTCACATATGGCCTTTTTGCGAGTTTGATATTTTGGTGTTTTGCTTTCGAATTCGACTATGAATCTCTTTCGCAACATCGGTATACCGGCATACTATTTTTGTGGCCGACTTTTCCTAACCCCTTCCTCATGTAGGGAACACAGCATCAGCGTGATACTACTAATCATACAAAGAAACCACCTTCCTACTGTCACACACCCCTCTAGTTAGAAAAGATAAGGATGTGAAGACGCGAAACAAGACAGCATTGGCTGAGAAAAAGTGTTGGTGCCATCAAGATTAGTTGCTAGTTGCTCTCTGTTGCGATTTTAACATTGTTTTTAAAGCAAACATTGTGAGCCCTCTACACTAATATATAGTGTTTTCAAAACGTAAAATTACATCCCAGTCTAGTGGTGAGAGTTGTCTAATGAAAGGTTATCAATCTCAAAGTATCAAGAAGGTGATAATTGATCAGGTAATTAAGGCAATTAACTAAAGCATAGACTAATTATAGTAGAGAGATTTTGTGAAATTTTAAACAGGTTCTTACATAGTAATAACGGGTAGTGGGTAGCAGTGGAATCCAAGATGCGCATTTCGTCCTATTTGGGACTCGTCAGCTGGATGTACCTGCCTCTCAGTGAGTGATGTTGTCCCCACTACCCATCATTACTATACATAATTGAAACACAGGCAATATTGAGGCATCTGCACATGAGCCCATATGCCAACAGAGGCTGATCAATTTGGTCCAATCAACGACGGTGTAATACAAGCAATAACACTAGGTCCAACCAAACTGATATTTTGTATAATGGTAACTAAAGCGAAAATGAATTGTTACGTGAAGTGGTAAATTGTTGGCCGTAATTAGAGACAGCTGGGGGAGAACAACATGGCTGAAATTGTAATAATAGCAATAATAATAATAATAATAGAGATGTTAAAATATTAGTTATAAACATTTGTAGGGTGAATGAAATGGTCTTGTTGTAATAAGTAAGCTATACAGATAGCCAATGCAAAGAAAGAGGCTGTACGAATTTCTTTTGAACACATAGACTTGGCTTGTTTAGGTGGATTCCTATGGCTACTGCTGTATGTGAAAGACGAACTCGTAGAGCATGGATGAGGTAAGAAGGAATGTGATAACTTTAAAGGCATTATGAATATTAACTCGGTGGCCAGTGTCAATCAGGTGAGAGAGTACTGAACTTTCTATCGATCTGGTTTGCCCTTTACTTGGCCGTGAAGGATGATGCTCAGCGATTCGATGACGGATTTTTCTGACTGTACGTTGAATGTAACTAGCTCCACAGGAGCAGTTAAACTGGTAAATGCGCATAGAAGAGAAGCCAGGTAGTCTGTTTTTGGTTAGCGTGGTCATCATCGGCTGACTGTTGAACACACAGCATAACTTTGTGGCATTAAATGATCTTCTAATGACATTTCTTAGACGCTGTCACAATTTCGCTGATGATGTCACCTCGAAATTGTAGTCTTAGGAACAATGGTATCTTAGAGACTGTTGGTATTCTGGTTTTTATATTAGACGTGTCCATATTTTTGGCCAGAAACGTTTCGATACATATAATCAAGTATGTAGAGTATCCAGCTACTAGAGTTTATGAATTCATTAAATCCTGCTTTTTTCACATTCGTTGCTTGTTTTAAAGTCCATTTCCTCGTTTTTGGACTCAATTTTCTGGACATCGACTTAAATTTTGGTTTGAATATGATTACATCAAGCACTTTTCTTTTTTGTCTCAACTGAAACAGGTCAATCCGAAGCTGAAATTACATATACGAGTCCCACTTGTTAATATATTTTCTCACCGTTTTGTGTTTATATTTTCCAAACTCCCATAAGTCATAATTTATTCGAGTTACTTGTCATCATTTTCGTGGCGGTTATAAGTATTAAATTAGAAACTTCAAAGTAAAATTCCATTTATTGTTGCACTTTATTTCTCTTCATCTACAATTATAAATAGGATTTTTTCTTTCGGTATTGACGGAAGAAACTGTAATTTGACGTGGAAATTTCGCTCTCAAAAAATATGGAAAATGACGACGTTGTTCTAACTGATAGTATGAAGAAGATTAAGGCCATCATTTTGATTGGTGGTCCATGCAAAGGTAATGATTCACACTAGTAATATTTTTCTCTGATTAAAGGTACTCGATTTAGGCCATTATCTCTGGAATTGCCCAAACCGCTTTTCCCGATAGCTGGGTTTCCTGTTATCTACCATCACATAGAAGCTTTCTCCAAGGTAATCATTTAAACTTTACATTGCGATTTAGCTCCCAGGACTGAGAGAAATTATTCTTTTGGGATTCTATCAGCCTAACGAAGCTCTTAATCAACTCATTTCAGACGCACAGCATGAATTCAAAGTTTCTGTTAGGTACGTTTAATCTATATATGCTAGTGGCTTCTTTATAATTGGCCCACATTTAGGTTTTGAAGTTTATGCCACACATTATTATCATCCAAAACAAATTTAGTGTAGCCTATGAATAAACAAGTGGGCTGCACTGACTGATGAAACAGTAGTACGAATGTGGAGAATGATAAGAGTGGTCAGTGCGAGAAAGTCAGTTGTATGATACATGTTAAACAAACCTATTTTACTTTTACTACTGTTCACATCCAAAATAATGGGAAAGTACTGTATGATTGCTAGTAGCTTCCTTTCTAAGCTACATATGGTAACTTCCTAAGTCTACCAATTGCAAAGAATCTGAAATGCAGCAAGCGATGCTAACTTGACAGCGTTTCTCACTTCCTAAAACGTATCTATCCATTTCTTCTAGATATCCGAAGTATCATCTATCAGTAAATAATGAATAATGCAACTTAATCAGATACATGTTTAAGCACTAGTCTGTAAGTCACATTTATTCTATGAGGGCTTGTGATACTACCTGGTTGCACAGGTCGAAGTAGGAGGGTCGAACAATAGTTAGCACTAAATCAGTCCAGTCTCATACGTAGGATGTATCCAAAGCAGTGAACCAGGTTTTTTTAAGAGCCGTTCACTAGAATTTGATTTAAAAATATGACAGCCCAATTTACCACAATTTGCAGTCAGCATACCGTAAAAAAATATGAAAAAGGAATCCAAAACAACAATTAGGTTAGTAGTTGAAGCTGAATGGCTATTAGATATAAAGTAATAGTCGATGGGTAATACTAAACAGTTGTTCACACTTATCGACGAAATGAATGATAAAGTGGATAGTTATTAACGGTAAAGAGTAAGTCGGCGATTCACTCGCAGCTAAGACAGCTGAAAGGGTGGATGAAACACTCCGAAGTACAATTCAGCCATTCTTCGGCTTCCCACCATGCAGTGACATCATGAATGGGACTCTGAGATAGAGCTCACAACCTTTGCAAAAGTTGAAAAGTCACATGAAATGAAGAAGGTCACCACTCTGATGTTTTTTTGACAGAAGTATTTAAGACTAGTGGCCGAGGACTAAAGACTAGACTCACTGAAGTGCTGGCCAATCTGTGGGGAACCGAATATAGCCTCTTCTGACAGGTTTCAGTCGCGGATCGTTTAATTGTTCAAGGAAAAAGCGAAAAACTCTTGTTGTAACCACATAGAAACCAACCTGATCAACGCAGTCTCTAGGATTCACTAAGCATTAAAACATCTAGTGAAACTCTGAAAGCAAAACCGAGAAAACTGAGCAGGTTAATAACTTCGCCGTTGGTATATCTACCAGATCAACTTTCAAAGACACCAAGTGAAAACTTGAGAATGTTTGAACTGTATTTCTCACTAAGTACAAATTACTGCTTTTGGAACAGACAGATAAACAGACAGAATAAACGTAGAACTTTGCACTCAAGTGCATCAGCTCGAGTTGCCACACTTCACGGTAGTATACAAAGAACAGGTGGATAGAGAGGGTAAAAATGAAGTAGAAAAAGTTGTGTGAGAGAATAAACGATTTGAAGATAAAGGTTGGTGCGGATATTCAAGCATTAGAAGGCGTCAAAGAGTAAATATATCTGCACCATTGTGACTGATTTTAAGCCATGTCACGGAGAGTCCTCAACCACTGCAACCATTCGCACTAGGAACCACAGCCGTACAGTCTACATCTCCCAACATGACTCAGACCAGTAGTCAGGGACTGCATGGATTGGTGTCAGGTCTTGTTCTGGTCACCTTAAACCCTCTTCCAACCTAATCCGACTTCTTCTAGCATGAGACCGCGAGGTAGGTGGTGGCTCGGCATGCACAGTACTTGTGCAAGCTATCTCAGCCGACTAAGGTTCACAACCTCATCAATCAACTTACCTGTCTTGCCTAGTACCCCTCGCGTGACCCCAACATTGCTCACACGATGATTCCACCAAATGCGAGCAGTACTACGAAGACACCCATGGTCAAAACCCTGTAATCGTTTCATGTCTTCTACTCTTAATGGTCATGTCTCAGTTGTATAACGGGACAGAACGGAATGCAGCGCAGTCGGATATCTCGTCAGTTGGTGTCAGAGATGACGCAAGTTGGAAAATGCTTGACGGGCCTTCTCCACCCGAGATGAGATTTCATCAGCAACCAGCCCTTTTGGACCGATGCGAATCTTCAAGTAAGTGAAGTGGTCGATGCATTCCACCAGTTCACTGCGTATCAATAAACTGGGATTACTTGCAGCAGGCCAGTCCTGTAGCATCATATTACATTTGACAGGTACCAGTGAAATGTATGCCAAACATACTCAGTTTTCTGCTCAAGGTGGTCCGAAGAAGCTGGAGTTTATCAGCGTCTTCACCCAGCAGGACAATATCATCTGCATAATCCAAGTCAGCCAGATGGCCTACATGGAGTAGGTCAATCTGTGCTAAGTTAGACGTACATATGATTATGTCCACTAGTAATTCTACATCGAGGTGCTGACAGTGGGCATCCCTGACAAACATTATTAGTTGTCAGTTCTGCTACTTCACCTGACAACATGGAGTGTCTTAAAGTTGTTGAGCATGCTGACCACTGCACTTAATTGGAAGTCGCATTAACCTTTATGATATATATATATATATATATATATATATATATGTTTTATGTATGGTTTATCATTGTCTACATTGTATTTGAATCTTTGACGTTTTGTCTTTCGTACTTTATTATTTTCATGCGAAGCTGTAACTTCATGTTGTTTTTAGTTTTTTTTCTGTGCCTTGTAATGTAATGGTTATGCCTTATGACGTAAATATTGACAGATTTCCTAGAATTAATCTCATCTACTAAAAGTTTGAAGTGAAGTTATGGTGAATTTATTTCTTAGAATCTCGTTGCTAAAATCATTTTTTTAATGGTTTGTTATTCATAGCATTTTTCGATGTAGTTTTGTTGAATCAAAGACTTTATGCATTCAACTTTCACAGATATTTACAAGAATTTACATCTCTTGGAACTGCTGGAGGTATATACCAGTTCCGCGACCAGTTGTTATCGGGATCTCCGGATTTGTTATTCGTTATGAATGGTGATGTGTGTTGTGACTTACCTCTTGAAGAAATGCTTGAGTTTCACAGACGTTTAGGCACTGGAGATAAATTTTTGATTATGGCAACTGATGTAAGTTGCTGTAATTTGATACGTATCTTTCATATTTTACGTGTAGGATCATATAGAATATGTATTTATCTCCACTTATTAGCTATCCATGTTTGACTTTTCATCAGATAATAGTTTCCGAGCTCAATACCATGAAAACAGCATTAACAGAATAAAATAACGTCATTTTGTTTCATAGGATTTTAATCAGCTGTGTGCAACCTGTAGAAATGAATAGTTCATTACCGAAAAATGCTAACTTACTTAAACTGAAGAATCTTGAAACGTCAGTTCGTGTTTTGGTAATCTGGAAGAACATTTCACAGCCTAAAGAAGTTGCTAATGGTAAAACGGAACTAAAGATATTCTTGTAGGATAAAGGGAGGAATGTTCTCGAAAGAGTAGCGTAATATCATATGCATAAGTCAGTGCAGTTACTTAGTCCTATAAAAAGTTATTTAAGCAAATGATAAGTGGGTGTGGTAAGCGATTGTGATAATAATAATCATAATACTAAATACACTGACAATAATGAAACCGTATTTAAATAAAGATGGGTAAAGATTAGTATAATACTAACGGGTTCGAATTCCGAAAAGGTGGTAGAAGAGTAAAAATATCAGTTAATAATAAGTCAGTAACAGGTTCGTAACTGTTTACTTCTAAATACAACTGTTTGAATTCTTCGGATAGTAAGGGATTTGATACGTAGTAAAAAACCACCTGTGTTTTTTCTATCTACTTCTGCTTGTACGTGTAAATTGGTAAATACATTTGGAGTTAGTAAGAGTCGGAATTGGATTGAATTGTGTGATAGAGTATGTTATTTGATACATTAAGAGAGGTATCGCAGTCAGACAGGTTGTAGAGAGCGCATTCCTAATCCATTTGTTGATTCTCGTCACATCATCCCTTGTGAAATCTTAAGTGAGAAATACTGGTTTCTTCCCGCAATACTATATCCCTCTCTTCTCACTTTTGGGGTACATCGTAAACTTCATCAGATAACTGTTATTACTTAGAAACTGTTTAGTTTGCCGGAGCTCTGTTTTCGCTTTTTCGTTGAAGTATAGTTTTATAATAAGGATAATGCCAGTCGTTGTGTGCAAGTAAATAACAAGGGAGAAAAATATTCTTGTGATAAACATTTAGAAATCAGGTTGAACTTATATTATATCTAAAATCCTATACTTTATATCTGTTTCACACCTGGTTAGAAATTGGAAGCAGCAAGTCAGGGAAAACTTGGCCGCTTTTAAGTTCCATAAAATTGCATGTTTCTTGACTTCAGGCCAACAGGTTTCGTGAAAGCTTATAACTTTGAAGGTTGTATTGGGCAAGGGTATCATGCTGCTAAATGATCTCTACCTTAACTCAAGCAATTATATGAAGGGTTATTTAGGGCTATCAAAAAAGGGGTAAAAAATAATGGTGTTCACCAGGGGTGTTTAGATCTTCACTTATTAAAGAAGACTACTACATTTTCCTTCAACTTTTCAAAAGTTAGCCTCCTGTCTAGAATTCTTCGATATAATTTAGTGTATGCATATCTTCTGAACTATAGCTGCTACCTTGACGTGGTGGTCAGACTTGTATACCGTGATAACCCAACGAGTTACACTGACTGGAACGCTTGTTTTCTCGTGGTCCTACCATGCCAGGTTTGTTGGACAGTGGTAAGACAAAAGCAACTACTATTGTAGTGTGTATTTCTACACTATGATGGGGGTTGTGCGGGCGAAGTCGTACTGCTGGCTAAACGGCGTGTGACAGCAGCAAGGTGTTTCCCATGGATGACCAACAGTGCCACACCGATGCTGCCTTCCCTATGGGATGAGGGATTTACAGAAGGTCAACCTTGGAAATAGTACACTCGTCCCTGCCCCACAGTCTTCACATGGCGGCTGCATATTTTTTCTCAGTCCGGCTTTAGAATAGCCAAATCTCAAAACATCAACTTGCAAGAAGCTGTGGACGACAGTTCTCAAACAGATGTCCCATGAGCTCAGCAGTCACAAATCTTTTGTCTTTCAGGTACCATAAGAGGAAACAGCCATCCATGGCGTGGGTAGCGAAGAAGTGTTAAACGCCCACATGCTTCCAGTAGTGTTCAAGTGTGCATGTATATGACAGCTTTGTTAGGTGAAAACGTTTGTGTAATGCAGGGACTTCTCAATATTATACAAAAGACTTGATTATGTATAAGTTTCCCATCTGTATAATTTAAGACGAGTTTGTTTTTCACTAATACAGTCTTTCGAGAGACAGACAGAAGACGTTGAGTGCATTGATCATTTCACTTCTTGACATAGTTTCTAATGAAATATCAATTCAATTACCAAATTATCTTCTTAATCACCATGTCAAACTTCGCCATTGCTTTATCCTCTTCCTCTTTTCTGACAACTTTCTATTACTTTTGATTACATTTCTCTCTTGTTACTTTCTACCTTGACGTATTGATATAAGATGGGATAACTTGAACCGTTACTCAGCAATTCTTGGTTTCATTTCGCTTTTGTTGACTAACTGACTCAGTGCGGATTCAAAAGGCTCGTGCTGATGTCGATGGGGTAGGGTGTATCCATGAAACCTTGGTTGTCTGCTGATATTCGGAAAACAGGTACACACGCTAGTAATATTATTACAAATCCAACTTCTGAAAGATGGATCTGTGGTCAGTGGATCTTATAACAGGTTAGAATGACGTTCAGTCATAAGAAAAATATAGGACCCATGTGCTATAATTCACGAAGTCAAAAAGTGGGAATAGGGGTATCAATAAGAGTATAAACTTATATGAGAAAAGTAAACAAAGTAAACTGAGACAGAGAGGATCAAATGTTGAACAGCTTATGATAAAATGTAGATACGTCTCCCCCACATCAATGGATTTTAAAGATGGATCACCTGGAATCTAAAACAGAGTATCTCAATTTCAACCGACACATGATTTGACCGGGCCCTGTTTTGTTTGTTACCTATTGATGCCTAAAACATCCCGTTGTTATGCTTATCTGTCTATGTTCTGAAATGTACTTCGATGAAAATTTTGTCGACACAATAGCCAGTTAAACTTTTGGTGTTCACTAGCGTTATAATGTGAAGAAATTCAAATCGGATTATGTGAAAAACGTGATTCCTACCTCAACTATGGTAAAAGTATTATGTTTCTATTACATCAGGGTTGATTACTTTGTAGCAGCCGCTCATAGTTATATCGTACTTAGCTGAATTTACTGTCTTATTCAGTATATAATGGGATATTGTCTGCAACTGAAAGGATGTAAAAAATGACAAGCTTAAAGACATAGTCTGCTTGAAATAGTATCACATCCTTTAATTCAGAGGTATTTTTTGTTTTTCTGCCAAACAAGTTAGAAAGTTCAGCTTCGTCTCCTACTGCTACTCATCTCCAAAGTTTTCTTGATTCTTCATGTTTGCTACAAAGGTTCCATTTACATTTATCTCTTTAAGGTTCACGCTGCTCAGCGTATTATATAGTCGTTAGAATTTTTAGAAAGTGTTTACTAACAGGGTACTACTGAAATTCAAGGTGAACAACTCAATCATATTAACTGGTGTATACGTCGAATGTTGAATTAATATATTTGAGTACTTTTGATGAATTCTGTCTGTCATTTTATGTTTCAAAGAAATTTGTAATTTTATTTATTTTCCTCCAGGCAGCGCATCAACAGTCTATGAAATTCGGTTGCATTGTTGAAGATCCTGTCACTCATGAAGTAAGTAGCTATTGATCAAAATATTTTTTATACAATTGAATCTGTTTTTCATTAATATTGATACTTTCCAGCAAAGTATTTTATAGCTTCAAATTCTCAAAAAGGACTTGTCATTATTATTGCCATCACTTACAAATTACTTGATGTTATCAGTTTTGTGCATATTTGTCACAATGTAATTCGCTGTTAAACCACACATGTACTAGGAAAAATTTATATGGTAAATTATTTTCATTCCCAATATTGTGTTTTATACTTCAACTATCATATTTCTATTTACAACTTTACTGAGGGATTAAACAATTACTATCTCTTACTAATGAGTTAAATGATCATAATCTATTTACATCTAGGCTTGACAATTGGAGTCGGAGTTTATACAGCCGAATATATACACGTAGTTACTTCTAGGCTACTGATTTTGAACACTGCATCGCCGGGATGAAGCATTGAATTGCAGTTTATCTCACATAAATTTTACTTCTACGAAATTCTAGCGAGTGATTATACTTATAATCAACGAATCAGAATACAAACTTTCTAGATAATAAGCATGTTAATTTTGTTTTAACGTTCACGACTACTGCTCTGAAAAATATCTATCTAAGTCTATAAAGATGCTCAAGTCCCTCTGCAGTGGTAATTATATTGTGATGAATTGTTGCGGTAAGTACAAAAACTGGATCCCGAATTGTTTAACGATTGTCAACTCAGTAATTAAAGGACTGACACGCTTATCATGTGATTCGTAAAGTAGCTGACAAAATCAGCGTAGAACCTCGCACACAGGTGCATCGGTTCAAGTCGCCACACTTCGCAGTAATACACAAAGAGCAAGTGGATAGAAACAGAGTGATATTAAAGTAGATAAAGTTGTGTAAGAAAATAAGCACTCTGAATATAACGGTGTATCCGAATATTCAAGCTTTAAAAGATGCTAAAGAATAAATACATCTGTGCCACTGCAACCAATTTTCGACCATGTCACCAAGAGTCCTCAACTACTGATTCCTATCATCCTGGGGGTCCCAGCCAGGCAGTCTTCATTTCTCACACGCTTCACACCAACATTCAGGGACTTCATGGACTGGTGCTACGTTTTAGTCTGACCACTTTCTTCCAAACTAATTCAACTTCCCCTAGCATGGCACGTCGCAGTAGGTGATGGCTCGGTATGCGCAGTACTTGTGCAACCCATCTCAGTCGACTAAGATTCACAACCTCGTCAATCGACTTATCGGTCTTACCTTTTACCCTTCGCGTGACCTCAACATTGCTCACATGGCGATTTCTCCAAAAATGATGCAAAGCTGATAGTGCACATGCGCTTATTTTCGAAACTGGGGCTTAGTGGCTTGAATACAACTTCCATCAGTCAAGCAGTTAGTTCAAATACTGATTCTACATACTTTAATTGGATGAATAATATCACTGACCTTCAGATAATAGCCACTGTTGTCAACCTATCACGTAAATTTATGCTTAATTTCAGAGCTGTATTCACGTACATTTTCACTTTGGATAAAATTGTGCTCAAACAGAACGCGCAAGCGATAAAAAAAACAAATAAAATTATGGATTTTTATTTTATAAAGTGGTATGATCGATATTTCTAATTTATATATATTTATCCGCATCAGTACAATTAGTTTATTTATGAATTCCCATTTTTTCTTGGGAAAAACAAAATTTTTATAGGTTATGCATTATGTCGAAAAACCAGCCACTTTTGTCAGTACAACAATCAATTGTGGAATTTATTTGTTTACTCCTGGAATATTCAAGTTTATTCGTATAGCTTTTCTTGAGCATCAAAATCAACTCAAGTAAATGCTTTTTGATATGTTGTGTTCAATAGATGAATTTTAGCGTAGTATTTAGTAAACATAGTTTTTCTAATGTTGCATATTTTTCAGTGTTATTTGACTGCCATGAGCAAAGTGTGCATTTGTAAATGATTTCTACAGTTAGCTTTTCATACTATATTCTGAAACACCTTAAATGATTACAAAGTTTTCTGACAAAATTACCCGTATGATTATATATATATATATATATATATATATATATATATATATATATATATTTTATATATATATATATATATATGTCTTTTCTTCCAAAGAAAGTAGTTCTAAACTGGTAGTAAGCCACTTCAAGTAAGTTGGATGTAGTTAGAAAATAATTTATATGGTCACCAGATTATTCAGGTATACCATTTACCGAGTAGTGAACGGTGAAACACTTCCAATTCAGCTGTTATCAGCTAGCATTCAGTGAAGGAAACAACGATTTGACCAAGCATTCTAGTTGACGCAATCAAAGTAGTCCAAAACTAAGTTACAATATATGTATATATATATATATATATATATATATATATATATATATATATATGTATCGTGGTCCTAGGGAAGGAGACTGACAAGGAACGTGGTAGAATAATCATCAACCGATGCATTTGAAAAATCAATAATAATGATAAACCACGATTTTTTTTGTTCCAAACTAGAATTCAAATTTATGGGAATAAAAAGTAGACAAAGATATTTATTTGGCGAAAAGATATACTTCATCTTAGTTGTAACACTGACAGAAGAAAGAGTGGCCTGGAGATTATACTGCATTCTTCCGAACCTTTTAATCTGCGCTTTTATTTCTTTAAAGTTTTCAAAAAAATTACATGGCAACTACTAACCCAAAACGCCAAAGTGAATATAAATACGGCCGTACGCTCATCCGTAGAATGTCAGACAGAGAGGTCAACGTAGAATCTGACATGAAAGTATTCCTGTTCAATTTATCACACTTCATGGCAGTGTGTATAGAAAACGAGACATGAAAGTTGACAAAATTGTGTAAAAGGAGAGAGTATAAATAGAAGAAAGTTAATGAGAATATTCAAGACATCCGAGATGACAGAGTGTGCATTTATGCCATCGTGACCGGTTTTTATTTATATCGTCTCTAGGACAGTAAAGAGAGCCTACATTCCCTACACAGTTAAAGCTAACACTCAAGGACTTCATGGTTTAGTGATATATCTTCAACTGGCCACCCTTATCTTTCTTCTAATCTAAGTCAAATTCGGTTGAGACCGAATGTCGAGGTAGATAGGGGCCTAGCATGCGGCACACGTGACCAAACCATCTCAGTCGTTAAGGATCAGCAGCCTCATTGATTATGTTGTCTTCTTTGCATAGAACCCTACTCAACCTGGATATTGCTCATGTGGGGATTCCAGTGCACGTGAGTAATGCCGTAACCACGCCTATGGTCGAAAACCCGTAATTCCTCCCGATTTGGTTGCAACGGTCATATTCCACAGTTGTATAAGAGGACAGAGAGAACTGCAGCATGGTATACTCATCTTTTAGTAGGTAGTCGGATATATCACCGATGGCATAAGTGTTTAAGGTCGGTAAATGTGGAACAAGCCTTTTTAATTCGAACTGAAATTTTCAGTCGATAAAGGTTCACAACCGCATCCACTGACTTATCTCTCCTGCCTGAAACTATACGTCTGACTTCTGCGTTACTTACATGGTGACACCACGAAACATGGCCTATGCTACGGAGGTAATGGTGGTAAAACATCTGAAGCCTTATCATGTTTTCTACATTTAATGGCCTCATTTCAAAGTCATACAGTAGACTAGAGCAAACTGCAGCACAATACATTTGACTCTTCATAGACAATCGGACATCGCGGCGACGCTATAGATGGTGTAAGTTGGCAAAAGCCAACCGAGCCCTTTGTATTCATACAGTGATCTCGTCGGCCACTAATCCACCAGGGCTGATCCTACTTCCCAGGTAAGTGATGTGTTCAACATGCTCAAACAATTCACACTCTATTGTTAGCCGGGGCATCGTTGAAGACCAGTCTTGAAGCGTGGCATCGGCGCATGGAGTCGTTGACTCTTGATCTGAGTCGTGTAGGGGAGTGCAGATTTCCCGGTCGGGGTCTGCATAACAACAGAAACCTGGGTTGGAAACTCTAGATAATATGTCTCAGAACCTATGTCAGATGTATCCATACCATATCGTCATCATAATCGTCATACTGGATTCAGTATTTTCTTGTTACTTCGTGTTATGTTATCAGGGCTTTCTACCACTTTTGACGGCTTTCTTCTCCATTTCTTAATCCTTCATCTTAATGCATTGTTGCTTGATGTTCTTATATGTGGTATGAATACTTGGACCGTTATGCAGTAATGTTTGACCCCATGTTGATCTTGCCTGTCTAGACTCAAGAGCAACGTTACCACTAGTGTTTGTTTGGCTTAAGATAGCAATTAACCCAATTTACGGCATCCAGTAAGAAGCATTTTATTGTTAAGGTCGATAACTTTATCAACAAATGAAGTCAAAATGTCCAGCTTTGAACATGAATTAGTTTTGATTGAAGGACATTTGGCTTATCACATGCTGACCTTTATGACCTCAATCTCTTTTTGGATCATTCTAAATAAAAAAGTTTTACTAAGTTTGGTTTATGGATTTTAGTGGCTATTTTACATGTGACTTGTTTTTTAATATCGTTTCCTCTCACTCTTCATTTAACATGTTGTGCGTGTTCAATATGACTGCATATATGTAGTGAGTTCAAGAATGAAATATTATGTCTTACTGCCAAACCTTGTTTGTAAATTACTCGAGTTTTCCAATTGGATTAACTGATCAGTATAGTAGTTTTGAGTATCTTTGTATTGCATTTCAAAGAGTATATTTGTTTTATAGAGTAGAGTTGTGATTCGCTGTTTTCACCACTCAGTTTCTGATAAAAAAATCCTTAGGTTAAATTTAGCTCCACTTTTGAGATTCAAGCAGGTACTCAGTTTCACTATTTCACGCTTATTGAAGCTTTATCGTAGCCCAATACAAAGAGCTGTATGTGGTTGCTGAGTTACATGATCTACTCTTACAGTTTTAGCGTTTGATTTTCACAGAACAGATTTCTTTATGGTATATATTGAGTCCTTTGCTTATGAAAACAAGTGCGCAATAAGTTTCGTAGGTTCACTTTGTCTCGCTAATGTAGATATCAGATAAGGTTCGATGATAATTCCTTATTTTGTTCTAATTAATCCGTTTATCGCTTCGTAAATACACTCTCGATAACTATGAAGATGTTTCTCAGCTTTGTCAATTTCCATACGCTATTGTGTGTTTGGTATTATTTTTGTCTGTAGAATAGTTAAGTGGCGTTTATGTGGTAAGACTGCCATTGACAATATTCATTTTCTCATATTCGATACTTAACAGTGTAACTTGTTTCAGTCTTAGTGATTTATTGAGATACAAAGTGGACGGCTATCGCTTTTCAATGACAGTACTTTGCCCTTGTTGGTTGTTAGGTTAAAGTCACCATCTCTGTGATGACGGTTTGAGTACGAATATCGAGGTATCCGCAAAATATCTTCATATTTTGATCGCATTTTCATTTAGCGGTCATCTTAAAAGCGTGACTGAGTGAAAAATACTTTGTCAAGACTGAAAACTATTATCCATCACTCCGGTTAGAATGTTGGTGCATGAAATTGACTTTTTTAATTTCATTACGCTTGTTTGTATCATAACTGGCAATAATTAAAATGTCCTATCGACAGGTAATGTTGGTATTAGTCCTATATAATCACCGAATTCATTAAAACTGGAAAGGGTTAGTTGCTTGTCTCTGATTCGGTACAGCGTTAAAAATTGACGTCCACTTACCTTTTTTTTTCTAAAACTTGTTTTCATGAACATTTTCTGTAAATTCGGCTTCTTATTCTAATAAAATTGAACTGTCTTTAATTTGCCTACTTTTTCATTATATCTTTTATCAGCTATGATTTAAGACCTTCATGCAAAGAAACTATCCATTTGGAACGAGAAATATGTCAACCATTAGCTGGAAGCGGTACTTTATTTGTCTATCATACCAATCGATTTTGGAGTCAAATCAAGTTTGCTGGGTAATGTTGAGAAATTTTTCATTAGCGTGCTTTTTTATTAGATGATCAATGGTGACACAGTTATTGTTGATTTTTAAAAATTAAATATGATAGTTGATTGTGGCTTGCAAATCAGGATGGGATGAGTGGTCTCTTAGATTCATTTTCACAGATCCTTGATTATCCTCCTATGAGCTCAACTTAAAACTTGTCTAGCTAATTATTTGAAGTGTTTATCATGTAATCAGAATTTATAGGGGCATGACAAAGATCAGTAATTAGAACCGAATCACCTCCTACCTCGACGTACAATGATAGGGAAAGCTGGGTCGGGTTGGATGAGGGTTCAGAGTAGCCAAATCAAGACGTGGCGCCAGTCCATTAGGTCCCTAACTGTTGGTCTGAACTCTGTTGGGAGATGTTGACCGTCTGGCTGTGGTCCCCAAGACGATAGGAATCAGTGATTGAGCACTCTTGGTGACGGCTGAAAATTGCTCACAATGGCGTAGATGTATTCACTCCTTGACATTTTTAAAGTCTAAATGTCTTGACTAACCTTAATTTTTAAGTTCTTTACTTACTTGCACACTTTTGTCTACTTTGATATGAACCTTTTTCTATCTACCTGTCTTTGTGTACTACTATTAAGTGTAACAACTTGAACCATTGCACTTGCGTGCGAGATTCTACGTCGATTCTGTCTGTATGTCAGTAATTTGAAGCTGGTTGCTAAGTAAGTCAACATTTGAGTCAAATAAAGTTCTGTCTGTTAATCGATTAAATATAAGAATCAAACTAATAGGTGAAAAACATTAATAGAATTTGTGTTCAAAAATCTGTTTACTTAGAACGCAGTTTGATTTATGTGCTTCTAATCAAAGTAGGTAGTGTAACTTGGTCAACATCAGACTGCAGCACTGACTTCTCAGGTCAAGATGATCTAAACATGTTTCCCTAATATAAGGTTAGGTTCATTCGCAATGTTATCCTGTCTGGCTTAGCTCGATAAAAACTGAAAATCCACTCCTAAGAATAGTTTATCTTAAAGATATAATCTTAAATGTTACTGATAGATTCTGTACCTCGCCTGGTTAACTAGTTCACTAGTTACTAACCGGTTCTAAGCCCGGGTAAAGAGGGAAGGTTGGGCATAGGGCTAGCAACCCTACCCCGTAAAACAAATCTAACCGCTAAAGAAACTTCAAAGCACAAACAAAATATAAAAAATGAAAACAAACTTATTCCCCGCTGGAATCGGAGAGGCGAAATGACGCCAGTTGGTGAAAGCCTTCGGGAAGCCAACTGGCCGATGTGTCTTCTCTCGATGAAAGCGAAAGTAAACGTGGGGACATGGAATGTCCGTACGATGTTTTGAACCCAGTAAGGCAGCCCACATTGCAAAGGAGATGAGAAGGTATAACATCGAAGTGCTTGGGATTTGCGAAAGCAGATGGAATGGGATTGGACTCTCCAAACTGTCAACTGGAGAATCAATAATCTACTCCGATATTGTCACCCAGACGACAACCACGAGCACACTGAGTTATGAAGTGGCTATCATGATGTCCCCAACAGCATCGAAGGCTCTCATGCAGTGGGAACCAATCTCCTCCAGGATCATGACAGCAAGATTCAACTCAAAAGAAAGGAAGGTCACAATCATACAATGCTATGCACCTACAAATAATGCAGATGAAGAGAAGAAGGAGGAATTTTATAGACAACTGTAACCAGCACTGGACAAGACGTCAGTTGGCGATATCAAAATTCTAATGGGCGACATGAATGCCAAAGTGGGAGCGGACAACACAGGAAGAGAACTAACCATGGGTCGAGAAGCGCTCGGTGAGGTGATGAATGAGAATGGAGAATTGTTTGCAGAATTCTGTGCATTCAACGATTTGGTGATTGGAGTCAGGCAGTGTGTTCAAGCACAAGGATATCTACAAAGTGACATGGATTTCACCAGACACCAGGACACACTAAAAATCAAATCAACTTTACCTCAATCTCAAGAAAATGGAGACGCAGTCTACTTAACACAAGGTCAAGAAGAGGAGCAGATGTAGATTCACACCACTGTCTAGTGCAAGGAACCTTCCAAGCCAAGTTGAAAGCCTTCAAGGAAGCTGGTGATAGACCACAGTTCAAGTACAACACTCGGAAACTGAAGGATGAAACTACAAAGGAGATCTTCACGGCAGCCATCAAGACAAAATGGGAGATATCAAGGAACATCCCTGAAGAAACCTGTGTGGAAGAACACTGGAAGTCTTTGAAAGCTATGTGGAAAGAAACCTGCATAACCGTATTAGGAAGGAAGAAGAAAGAAGATAAGGAATGGATCTCGACGGATACCTTGAAGCTGATAGAGGAGAGGAGGATGGTGAAGCAGAAGACAAACCAGTGCAAGGATGCACAACGAACGGAAGGACTGAGTACAATGTATAAAACACTGGGTTGTCGTGGAGCCAGGTTCAAAAGATTTCAGAGAACAGAATTCACTGGAGAAGTGCTACTGAAGCCCTATGTTCAATTAGGAACCCAAGGGACAAATAATAATGATAATAATAATAGATTCTGCAGGACAATAGCAAAGCTGCTATCTCTAGCTGCTGTTCCTAAATTAATATCTGTAAAGTGCAATTGACGTTTTTGGAGACTAAGTAAGTGTGTACAAACTTTAGGGTTCCAGTACAACAGCACTGAGGTACATTAATACAATTATCAACAAAACATTGAGGGGAAAAAACTGGTGCTGAGATTAGCTGTTCTCAGTGATTGACTTTTAAATAAATGGATCATGGGTTCGAAACCCACCTCATCTATCGAGATTTGACCAATCAGGTAATATCAGGAGCCACCATGCAATAGTTATGGATCATTGTCTAGTGCATGAATCTGCAACATGGTCACTGAGTTACATTTCATTTTTCAATTCGTTTCACGAAAACAACTTTCAGCCATAACTTTTTCAGAAGTAAAGTTTGCTAGATTGACAATGGAAATTAAAAAGGGAGAGCAAACACGTAACAACCACGAGTGCTACTCGATCATGATTTACCGAACATGGTACAGCCATAAATATATCAATACCCGAAACATCATTCTCGTCATGAAGGAAGAGAAATTGTTATTTTTAGTGGGGATTCATCAAAATGTAACAAAACTGTCATAAAGATTAATAAATTTGGACAGGAAGCCATTTATCAGGTTACTTAAAAAGTAAACATAATTAAAGGAAGGAAGGATTTCAAAGACAGGAACTTAAGGCTATCAAAGGAAAAAGATTTAAACAGTTTAGGATTCTCCATACAGGTAAGAGCTTCAACAAGGCGAAGAACACAAACACGATTGGTTTCTTCTTCACTTTTTCAGTAACTTTATGTAATGGAATGTAGTTTTATCTTCTAGATACTTCAAGTAAGCCCGAAACTCACTGGAGACTTTCAAAAGCAATCATTCCCAGAATGTTACTTGACCATTTATACAAGTTTCAGACTAGCAAACTGATGTTTCAAAAAAAATGTAGACACCTCTGAATAAAGAATGGCTCACGTTAACAGTGAGTTCTATCACTGCACTAAAGAAAACATACCACAAATTAATTTAGACCTATGGATATAAGAAAAATGCAATAAAGATAATAATTGACATCATTGAAAATCAAACTGTCTAAGGGACAAAAATCTTGTCACTTGTCCAAGTTAACTTAAATGAATGAAGACAAGCATTCATAAAATAAATTATGAATACAGTAGAGAAACCACGTTTTAGTGATACGGGTTCATAGAAAACCAAACAAGGTAAGTGAGCAAGTGATAAAAATCCAATGTTGAACCTGAAATCTAGGATTTGAAGTTTAACACAAATTAGGCAATTAGGTGAAGTATACAAAACAGTTCTTTTATCGACTTCAACATTTGAACATTTTGGTTTGATTAGCTTTCTGAAGCCATTTATAATTGTGCAGACACAATGAAGTGTTCGAAAATGCTTACCCATGCAAAGATTATTGTGAAGCACTTATTGTTCACAAGTTATTGCACACAGAAGTTCAAAAACTCGATATACCATGCTTTTAGGCTTTTCGAAACCATTTAATCAATGTAATTGCACATGAATCACTGGGGCAACCAACACTCTGTTTTACCTTTCTAAGGTTGAGAAACAAAAAATTATTCGATGTAGAAATATTTAGTAAGTACGGTAGATGACTTGCGTGATGTTGCTCTCCACGCAGGGTAGTGTATTGGTCTACTGCAGAAAAACTACATGTTACGGTTAACTTCTTTCGATCCCTATTTTAGTTAAAATAAAATGTCAGAATGTACTCCACAACCACATGCAAATTCGTGCAGTAGGTAATCAGTCATACCAACTGCGTGACGGCCTCTCAAACCTCGATTGTTGGGGCTGGTTTCGGACCCATGACCCACTTGCTACAAGTCGAAGGCTGAAAATCATTGACCTAAAGCTCCACTTTAATTGGCATAACAAGTTAAAATATTCATTCTGCATTAGCTGCGTATCTCCTTCGTTGAGTGTTATTCATTTCAATATCAAAATGTTATATGAATTATGATCAAGATTTGATCGAAGAGTATGGGAAATATTCGGCACTGAGTAAAACGATCGATGCTATACATAGTTTGTATTTGTGTAAGTCTGCGTGTTTGAAATAAAATAATTCTATCTTCAGGGAACTGATCAAAGATCAAAATAGCAAACGTATATAGATGCGTCCAATCTTCTTCGTTTAGTCATTGTCTTTCGAAAATATGATTACTAATCATTCAGTGTGAATTTGTGTGTCTCCTGTTGAATGGTTAGCGTGTGTGTGATGTGTTTTGTTATTTATATACCTCTTGATTGTAAATACGAGACAAAATGGTCACAGGTGATTTTCGGTAATTTTATAAGTACGATAAACTATATGAGTTGGATGTGTGTTCGTTTGGTTAGTATATAGGGATATTATTATTACTATTAGTTGTCCCTTGGGTTCCTAATAGAACATAGGGCTTCACTAGCACGCTTCCATTGCACTCTGTTCTCTGCAGTCTTTTAAACCTGGTTCCACGACTCCCCACAAGCTCTCATTTCCTCCTCGCACGATCTCCTTCATGTCACCCTCCCCTCGGACGCCCAAATCGTCGCTTCCCATCGGGGTTCCACTCAAGGGCCTGGCCTGACGCATGATGTCCCCAGTCGGCCTTCTCAGTGTATGCCCAATCCATCTCCACTTCCTTCCAGTGCATATTTGTTGAGCGATGGGTTCTTGGTTGGTTCGTTCCCAGAGTTCCTTGTTGCTCATTCTTTCTGGCAATCCATCTGATCTTTAGTGGCGAGCGTAAGCAGTTGTTGATGAATGTCTGTAGTTTGTTGGAAATGCCTTTCGTAATGCGTCAAGTCTCTGAACCATACAGAAGCAGTGATTTGACGTTGGTGTTGAAAATCCGGATGTTGTCCCACATGTTGAGTGCAGTAGATTTCCACACTGGTTTCAGGCTAATGAAGGAAGGCCTGTCTTGCTTTTCCGATTCTGACTTTGACATCCTCGTCTGCGCCGCCTGTAGTTGAGACAGTGCTTCCTAGATAGGTGAAGGAGGCTACTTCCTTTAAGTTTCTCCCGTTGGTGGTGATTGGAGTTTGTTGTTGTTGTTGGTTGGGTATCTTCATCACCTCTGTCTTCTCTATATTCACTTGAAGTCCCGTCTTCGCTGCCTCTTCTGTCAACTTGTTGGGATAAATGGTATTGACGGATTTTCCATTAATTTATCAGAATAGAATCGAAATGAATGATAATAGTGATGGTGGTGACAGTTATAATATTGAGTCAAATCAATCCTGGTTTCGTGTTGTTGCTGATCCACAGATAAGCGCTAGAGTCACTCTTTCTACTTGCTGATTAGTAATTGCTAAGAGGCAGCTAACTACGTCCCATCTATTCACACTATCTGGATTTAGCCATTTACGTAGGACTTCAGCTGTCGGCCTTTCTTGGTATGACCTAAAACCATTTTGCAGAAGAAAACCTTTGTTCCGTCAAAGGCCCGTTTCTATGATATATCGTGCCATTGCCGATTTGTTTTCTAGCTTCTTAACCTCAGCTGAGGTTTTTGGAATCTACCAGTGACACAGTCTTTTCTCCTTCATTCTTACGTTTAACTGCCTGGCTGTATCCCCCACATGTAGTGCATTACAATCTGCACATTAGATTTCATGAACGCAGTTCTGTACCATATCTTTAACTTTCATTAAGATACAGCGTAGGGTATTTGTTGCACGAAAATAGACTCTTACCTCATTTTTATTTAAAATCCTTATTTCTTCCGAGGTCTCTCAGAATAGAAATAAAGCCAATAACCTCGACATCAATAAGGTGGTAGGGAATCTTTTTGATTGGAATTTATCTGAACCTGAAGTATCCCTCCTTCAGAAGGGTAGTAACCACTACCACTGTTACCATACATTTCGATTTTATTCCGATAAATTAATGGAAGATCCATTAATACCATTTATCCCTATATACCAACCAAACGGACACATCCAACTCATATGGTTTATCGTACTTATAAAATTACCGAAAATCACCTGTGACCATTTTGTCTCGTATTTACAATCAAGAGGTATATAAATAACAAAACACATCACACACACGCTAACCATTCAACAGGAGACACACAATTTCACACTGAATGATTAGTAATCATATTTTCGAAAGACAATGACTAAACGAAGAGGATTGGACATGGAGACTAAGCGTACACTTGTTTGATTTGATCTTTATATCATTTTGCTTATCTCAGATATTCGTGGTTTGCCAGAGTAATATTTGTGCTGGGTGATGGTGAAATCAAATTTGGGCTTACGTCGCTTGGCTGTATCTTGCTGCGACCCAATTTTTTATTTCATTTCCCGTGATCACTACTGGTCTGCTGAGGCACCGCTATCTCGGATTGTCAAAATAGCAATCAATATGATGCTCCCCTTCTCTGATTCAAGTAGATTTGGATTGGGATGAGAAGTGCGGACTGGGTAGCCAATGTTGAGTACGTACGACCAAGCGGTAGTAACGCGTGACGAATTCACATGGTAGTTGGGCAAAACCCTTGGTCATCAACGTGAAACGAAAATCTGGTCAGCAGTCAAGTCTCGTTACTCATTTTGGACCGCACCCCTCCCCTTGCGGCCCAAATTTTAATCTCACCTTCAGTCATCACCCAGTACATTGCGACATACGCAAATATAAACTATATCTAATAAAATTGTTATGTGCGGTATTCTCACATAATAATTGGTTGCGGCCAGTTTTCAGAACGCCATAAATTTCCTATGTCGTATATTCTTTGAGCTGTATGTATTTTTAACGCTTCACTCAGAAATAGGCTGAATTTCTTCGAGTGAGTAGTATTTAGCATGAGAACAACAGATTCGCTATTGTGCAGCACAGAGTAAGCAAAAGCACTCATTTTGTTTTAGTCTGTATTTTCAGGTGTTGAATATCTGTCCACTTTAGTTTTATTACAAGATTTATGTCTGTTCGTTTGTTTACACTCTAAGAACTGGTGTAACCCTATCTACCTACGAGATTCGGAATGTTAGGTGTTGTAGGTTTAGGGTAATTATTTTTGTCTATTCCTATGGTAAATACTTGAGCTGTTTCAGTGTAAACAGTTTTTGAGGAATTATCTATCTATATGTACATTTCTTTTTAGTTTATTTCCTTAACTCCTCCGTAATCTTTCGACACTATCGTTTTTACTAGAATCACACTACTCTAGCTGCAGTGAGGTATTTTTAAGTAATGTCAGATCCATTTGTAGTCTAGTAAATACAGTCTTCATCTATAATTAAACTTACTGTTATTTCACTTATATAACGGATAATAATTTGGTGGTTGTTCTTTGTCCCCAATGCAGATTCACACTACGCTGGTATACTCTTCATGAAAGCGAAGTATGATTTATATGCCTATCTCTTTTCGACTAGCTTACTTGTCTGTTGCTATCTGAACCTCGAATATCATGAATGTATGACTATCTATACGGTTTTTATTCTCATTTGTTTATCTCCCGGATAAAACTTATTTAGTGCACGCCTTCTGTAGTCAATTTAACACACACCTTTGATGTATGAGTTCCATTTGTATTTTTACTATCCTTTTATTTTTTTATCCAGTGCTGTTATTTACGCCAATCGTCATATATTGTCACTTTACGAAAAAACCAATCCTCGTAGACTTGCTAAGCCAACGATACCAAGTTCTGCAAATCTACAGATGATGGATGATGCTAAAAGTGCATCTTTAGTTGTAATGAATGGAGATTGCCTACCATCATTCTGTGGACCAATTATAATTGGTCATGTCTTCATACATCCAACTGCTTTGGTTGACAGAACAGCTGTTGTAAGTTTATCATTTGTTTTTAATATAGAAAGATGAAGTCGATAGTTCCATATGAAAAAAGTCAATGGGAGCTTCATACTATTGTCTAGTTCTTACCAAGTATAAGCTGTTTCTTATTGTTATTTCTGTTTAGAATAGTAATTGCTGTTCTCATTTTATGCATTAGTTGAAGCATTAACAACTTGAAGACGGATACAATGACCTATTGGTTCAAGCTGCCATCTAATTAAAATAATGCATTGATAAAAAAAAGCCAACGAGTTGTCATCAGTGTGCAGTATGATCAAATTTCAGAACCAAGTATATGTTATGATAAAGTTGACTTTGAGCTGTCACTGAATGATTCTAACAGCCAATTTCATCTACCTCGATAAATGCGTCACCTCGCTTAAATTGAACTGAATTCATGGGCTGATTTATTCCTTGACCATCTTGAAGCCTGGCTATATTATTTTTACTTTTGGTTATGTGTTACATCTGGATTATAGTTTCTCATGATGATCCTATTCTAGTAATCACTTAATCCGCATATCAGTTCGCATAACTGTTTCTGATTTCTAATTTCTTCCAATTAAAATGAAAGATGTTGTTTTCTGTAGTAATTGCATTTTGAAGGGAATTGCTAGCATAAATTATACTCGCTCTTCATTCTAGTATTGTAAATTGGACTAAATGCGTTTGTTCCTGTTTCTCACTTTTCTCAATATTTATGTTTTCACTTTTAGGGGAATCATTTTTAACCGTTATTATCTGCGCAAAAGCAACGTTTTCATGTGTACAAACTGCTGATTTAGATAATGTTTTCAAAATGTTACTCATATGGAAATAGGTTTCTGAACATTTTTTTTTCCATTTCTACTGTTTTAGATAGGGCCTAATGTAAGCATTGGTGAACGAGCTGTTATAAAAGCTGGTGTACGTTTACGGGAATGCATTGTACTCAGGGATGCAGAGATTCGTGCACATGCTTGTTGTTTGAATGCAGTAATTGGATGGAATACAGTTATTGGCGAATGGGCTCGTGTCGAAGGCACACCCAATGATCCGAATCCTAATAAGCAGTTTACTAAACTTGATGTATTGCCTGTTTTTAATGGTAAAGGTCAACTAAATCCTTCCATCACTGTTATTGGTAGGTTCAAGTTATTGTTTGCTATTTTTGCTGTTGATGATAAATGAATCACGTTAATTGTTTAGCAATGATTAGCAAATAAAGTTGAATGTGCCTAGGTTTTAACTATATGTGTACAACTCAGCAACTAAATGAATGTCCCTACATAGCTGTTGTGCGACGGATTATAGTGCTATCCAGTTGTCCGACTCCCCGCATGTGAGGCAGGATTCGGATGCGTTATATCCACTGGTTAAGAGTCAAGTTCCTTGATCAGTGATCTACATTTCCGCTGTACATAAGTTAGTAAAGAGAAAAGGGCGAAAACGTTGTGTCAAGTAAATATTTAGAAAATAATAAATGCTATTGCACCAATTTCTAGGTTAATTCCTGCTTCCACTTTGAGGAAGATTTTATTGTCTGCTATTAGTTGTATCAGGAATGCCATATGTAATTTATTTTAATCATCTTGTCTTAGAAAAATCCATAGCTTAGTATTTTAACCTATAGAGATAGTTATTGCAATAACCTGATGCCCAGTCTTTGGGTCTAACAAAAGTTCTAGTGACCGCTTTCCGAATACATACATCTTCAGTGCATGAATTAAAAAGACATGTATGTCTGCGTAACTCAGATTCTCATCACACAAATGGGCGATTATAGTCCTTTTGATTACTGAAAAATTAAAATCACAATTCTTGTTCTTCCTGTACAGTTCTGGTTTGCAAGCAGGAACTGCGGAAATTAATTCATAATTAAATTTCAAAAACAGCAAAGCCACTAGGTTTCATCATTTTGCCTAATTTTGATAAATATTTTACCATATTACTTTAGACTGTTACCTGATGAATGTGAAAGCATCGTTCGAATTTTCATTGAGCTTCTAACCTCATTACTCTGATTCATTAAATCATTTGAATAGCTCAAACTACAACTACAAATATCTGTCACCACTGATGTGCGAGTTTGTGGATTCAATATATATATATATATATATATGTCAGCACTAAACGACTTTTTCATCTTCCATCGATATTTATTACATCATTTCCATTTCTCTTGCTCTTAGGTTCTAACGTAGAAGTTCCTCCGGAAGTGATTGTACTGAATTGTATTGTCCTACCACACAAGGAATTATCACACAGTGCTAGGAATCAAATTATACTGTGATACATCTATTTCATGTGACTGAGTAGATGCCCACATAAATATGTTTGCTGAAGACATTGTTGAATATACGTGGATTACTTTACAATATCTTCAGTATTTCGTTTATTCTTCGCCTCAATAATTTCATTTTTTTCTTCCGGAAAGGTCTACACTGACTTAATAATTTCTTTTACTAAACATCAGTTATTTCGCACTAGTGTAACTGAGAGTGATGATCATAATAATAATATTTTCTTGTGATTGTTTCATTTGTAAAATAAGCAAGTGAGTAATTTCTAGATCCTTAAGTGATTACAATTTGATTATGTAAATGTAAGTTCTCTTTTGTTTTGAAGAATTCTTAGTTTGACCCGTTCACGTACCATATTCAAATCGTCCCACTTCCTATGCGCAGTTTATTCTTAGCTCACCTACTGACTTCTTTCCCTACATGTAATGTATTTCGTTTTTTTGCATTGATTCCCTAACCGAACAGTTTTATTATTTTTTTTCTTTTTCATCTCAGTTACTCAGTCAGTCAGTAACAATGCTGATATTGCTAGCTTGATTTTTTTACATCAGTTTATTTGTATCCTTTGAATATTCAATAGTTGATCTTTATTCTCTGTTCTATTTTTGCATTACGTAGGCGATACACTGCATGTAAGGTGCACTTCCAATTTCTGCTCATTACATCTAAGGTTGAATGAACTACTGTTTCAGCGAAATATTTTTTGTCAATAAATACTTTGATTGATAAGAGTTTTGTAAAGCCAGTGTATAGCGCTAGGTGACAGTGGTGTAAGTTTTTGTCGACTTGGATAGAAGAGAGAGCTAGCAAATACTATTTCGAAAATTTGACTGGTAATTACTTAAATTAGAAAAACCGATCAATAAACTTTCGCAACACTGCATACAAAATTGAAATACTACATACTATCAAAAAATATTACTACTTTGTCAAAAATAACCAAACTCTACTTTCTCAAAGCACCTGCAATTCATGTGTATGGTTCCCATGACTCTGACCAGTTCTGCCGTTAACCAAAAGAGCATATCTCAGTGCCAGCAGATATTGCTCTTGTCATCTCAATGCATTAATGCGCCTTCAGCTTTAATTAAAACAGTTCGCAATGATACTTGTTATCATTTCTCATGCACGCATTAAACAGTTGTAAGGGATAGCGTAGAAACGCTTTCCAGCCCAACCCATACATACTTACCTATTCCTATTGCAATGTCAGTAAAGCATTTAAGCATCACCAAGCACGAACAGATTTCTAACTGCTTGAGTTTCCTGACATACAAACAGGTAACTGGAGAAAAGTAGAATTTGGATTATTAATTTACAATGAACTTTATACACTTCTAGCAATCGCTCATATTTCTATTATTTTGAATGACTATAATATACCTCGCTAGAGGTTAAGTCACGCAAAATAAAACTCGCATTGAGCAAAGTGATATATTGAATCTTTACCACCAACTTTCTCGTTTTCGTTATAATGGGAGTATTCAACACCTACCTCTATCGTTATTGTTCAATTTAGTCTCAAAATAACCCTCATTGGTGAGATGATTATTATACATGGTGGAGTCATTCAATGAATGCGTTAAGCATATAGATACGTGCAGAAACTTCTGTAAGCATCTTGAAATTTGTGCCTGATATCCTCAAATAGTTATAATTTAGCGATATGCTTGCTAATTAGGTTAGTTAACCTACACAATCTTGCACGTAATATTAAAAATGATGGCCTTATATGGTGCATACGGTCACACGCATTCACTTTTCTGGTTACATAATTTGAAAAGGGAATTTCTAATCAACTTTCACATAAAAATTGTCATTGGCAGTTGTTAGATGCTTCAGTCCATTTATCAAAATGTTCTCACTTATTCTTTACTATTATTAGGATATCCTAATAGGATTGATGAACATCTGGTGTTTTACCGAAATGAATGGCTTCAATTGTGCGCTCCCATATTGTCAATACACTACACAGCTGCTCAAGAATACCCGGAAATAATAAATCCACCGTGATAACATCTAGACTTACCAATGTATGATAATCCTGTATGTTTCATTTAGTCAGTTAAATTGTCGTCTAGTACTCACTGTCTCTCAGTGAATGATGTGCTTGAAAACTTCATTTCCGTGGTTCATCAAGATGATTACAAGCTCTGAGATGAGCGATCGAGCAGTTATCGGGAAACCGAACTGATAACCACTGACTTATTGTTACTTTTATGAAAATGAAATACGCAACTATTGTGTTCGATAAATAGACGATGTTACACGTCAATCTATCAATAACAAAGTGTGACCAAATGTATCGACTATCTACTAAATGCAGATCTCTGTGATTGGGATGCGAATTTCTGACTATTGTGTTTCGCTTAATATACTACGCATACAAGGTTGTTTCTAAATCATATGTTCATGTAACTCTACTCCATAACTTATATGAATAATTAGTTTTGTATCACGAAGACGATTTATAGTTTTGTAATTGTTTTAGGATGGCATACGGGTAATAATGATAGTTTAGATGTTGAAGTGCAAAGGTTGGTGGAAAGTGTGAATGACCAGGAGGCGAAATACATTTTGTTCTGAAGATGATCGATAGTTCGCTCCTACTTGTTATCACAAATCTTAGAGTGTTCGGTTGAATATTTGTCATTTTATGAGAACAACCATTTTGAATGTCTCTTGCTAGGGAGAAACTATGATCCATTGTATAAGGTGTATTTTTACTTGTGTAATCCCGTCGTAGTATATTAGAACAAATAACAAAATAAACAAATATTTTGTATTATTCCTCAACGTTTCGATCTTGCTAGGAAGATCCTTTTCAAGAGTATGAATCTGACATTAAGTTTTCAGGTTAATATTCAAGTTTCGGTACAGAAAGTGGTGACCTTTACAAACATCCAATTACATAGTGTTATGGAGTAAAGATCGATGTAATACAAGTGAGTGAATAAGCAACTCGGTCAGAGAGGTTTTTTCGCTGTGTGAGTTAGGTGGAACAAAAATAGCGTGGGGAAAAGTACAATGGGGTTGTGAGACATCAAGGGTGAGAAAGAATAGATTGGAAGGATGAACATTTGAAGATCAGACAATATATGATAAATAGATAATAATAATGATAACGATGTATTTTTGATAACATTTGAAGTATGAGTGATAACAAAATGGATTATGTTATGGTTCATCGAATGTATATGACTCAGAAAGCAGCGTAAAATTGATGAAAATAGTGGATCAATATGTACTATGTGCTATGTAATAGGACTAGACAAGTTGTTAAAATGCAACCAATATTTTTTTCTTTTTCCTTGTGGTTAAGACGATTAAGAGAAATAACACCGGGAACTATTCAAACAAGAGTGAATTCGGAACAAATCATGTGGAATGAAATTGTGTTCCACCTTCTCTTCGTATATTATTTACAAACTATGATTGATAAAAGAACCTAGAAGATTTGGATTTCTCCGATGACTTGTGTCTAATCTCACACAAACTTGAAGATCTACAGGCGAAAACCGACAAGTTGTCAGAAGAGGCAGCGAAGACGGGACTTCAAGTGAATATAGAGAAGACAGAGGTGATGAAGATACCCAACCAACAACAACAACAAACTCCAATCACCACCAACGGGAGAAACTTAAAGGAAGTAGCCTCCTTCACCTATCTAGGAAGCACTGTCTCAACTACAGGCGGCGCAGACGAGGATGTCAAAGTCAGAATCGGAAAAGCAAGACAGGCCTTCCTTCATTAGCCTGAAACCAGTGTGGAAATCTACTGCACTCAACATGTGGGACAACATCCGGATTTTCAACACCAACGTCAAATCACTGCTTCTGTATGGTTCAGAGACTTGACGCATTACGAAAGGCATTTCCAACAAACTACAGACATTCATCAACAACTGCTTACGCTCGCCACTAAAGATCAGATGGATTGCCAGAAAGAATGAGCAACAAGGAACTCTGGGAACGAACCAACCAAGAACCCATCGCTCAACAAATATGCACTGGAAGGAAGTGGAGATGGATTGGGCATACACTGAGAAGGCCGACTGGGGACATCACGCGTCAGGCCAGGCCCTTGAGTGGAACCCCGATGGGAAGCGACGAGTTGGGCGTCTGAGGGGAGGGTGACATGGAAGAGATTACGTGAGGAAGAAACAAAAGCTTGTGGGGAGTCGTGGAGCCAGGTCCAAAAGATTTCAGAGAACAGAGCGCATTGGAGACGTTCTACTGAAGCCCTATGTTCCATTAGGAACCCAAGGGACAACTAATAATAATAATAACAATAATAATGATTGATAAGTTGCAGAAATATGTGTTTGTTGCAAACGTGATAAAGCTGCTTCTCCAGGGCAATGAAATGACTCCTATCTAACCACTTTTGTTTTCTGTTATTTCGTAATGTTGACATTGTAATACCAATGAGCGTTATCTTGCACCACTTTTACTGTTTGTCGCTATTCGTTTTTCATATCAAAAGTAGAAAACGATATGAGGGAATCGTGCATATACTCAATGCACATATATGATCGATATGTTTGCCCGGTATAAGAAGGATATCTGTTTGATTGCTTTGTGAACAGATGCTATCAGATTTCATTCAGAGAGAACATTTTCTCAAGTATTAGATGGTTTGAACAAAATTTCTGTAAAAGAAGAGTAATTAATAATAGCTTTAATGGATGGTTATTTACTTGATTTTCAGGCTGTACAACTGTAAGTCCACGAGGTTAGGTGTAATAATACAGTAGGCAGTGTAAGGCATACGGTTAAATTACATTGGGTATTGAATCGGTCGATGCTTTTTCAGTTGTTTAGTGGAGATCAAATCGAGTGGATGTAGGCTTTTGGAGGTGGCTTTAGTGGTGTAATGAAATCAGTCTGAACAGAATAGGCATAATATAAGGAAACTGTCATGGGGGTCTTTAAAGTATTGAGATCATACTAAGAAGGTGAGAGGAAGAAGTAATGAGTGATAACGAGTGTTCACCACAAAGCATCTTGGAATGGGTAGTATACAAAGTTTTATTCCACAAACGAAGGAGGGGAACTCGGTTTGGTCTTAGTTGACAAAAACGAGAAGGTGACATTCTGATAAAGCATTTGAGAGTTACTTAAATTGTCAAACATTTTCATGCTGAACAGAGGATAGACTGGCAGGTTTTCTCTGAATGTGGCAATGAGCAACTGTCAACGAGTATTTAGTTCACAAGGGAGATTATCGAGCTGAGAGATATCTTGACACCAAGTTGGTATTTTTAGTAATAATAATAATAATAATAATAAAATTTTAGCTGCAGATGTATCTTACTGTTCAGTCTCAGGGGTAAGGTTTCTTGTATTTTCTTGTGTGAGTGATTTTTAATTTAATTGCTACTATGAGGTCAGTTATCCGGCATATGAGAAATAGCATCAGCCATTGTGGCTCCCGGAAGGTTAATTAATCAATGTTGTGTGTTTCATTCAGTCAAACATAGTGATAACTGGTACTGGTGATATATATATATATATATATATATATATATATATATATATATATATATATATAGAGAGAGAGAGAGAGAGAGAGAGAGAGAGAGAATATAGTGTGGATGCAGAAATTAAGAATATTTATTCTATCTATAGAGAGAGAGAGTGCTTTCAGTTCGCTATATTACCACATCATTTTTGTTTTTTGAGATGATACCAACCGTGAAAACATAAATTGTGCGATTAGGTTAA